CCCCCCCCCTCCTCCGAAAGAACAAAGAAGAAACAGATAAAAAAAAACCCAATAGCAACAACAGAATTCGGTAAAGTATTATTGCTTCAACAAAAGTATTTATTACGCTAGATTGACATAACAAATCGAGGTTATGTTAACATGGGAGAAGATGCGGACTGAAGACTAAGCTACAAAAAATGGAGTTTCACTGTATGTGAAATGTTATATCACTTTTGTATTTTAGCTTCATAAACAGCGTTAGAAATGTCCTACCTAACCCAAATAAAGAAATAATATAAACTATATTAAGCATCAGGGGTACATGGAATCATTTTAATGTAATATCAAAATACTAGCAAGTAAAAGTGCTGAGGAAACTGTGCTCTTGTAATGTCAGAAGTAATAAGTGGAATTTAAAGCAAAGAACGACGACTGATTGTTGTCTGCAGTGGGATTTGGTAGCTTTTGATTTTCCATTCGTAAACATACAATGAAAAGTGTGGGTAAATGAATATGTTTGTCCCCATTTCCTAAAACCAGTAAAGATTTTTTGAAATTTCATGTAAAGAGTCAAACCGCTGTGCACGATGTTAGTTATAATTTTTGATTATGCTTCATTCCGATTTCAAAATAGCCCGTGTAATAATGTTTAAGAAGTGCTTGCTACGTTTCTATGCCCGTCTTGCGAACAGGCCAAACACGTACCGTAATTGTTGCGTGGGATTGTTGAGGGGCAGTGAATCCTATAGTGCGGTCAAAAATTCGTGGCGCAACTTATCCTCAAATATCTCTATGAGGGGTGAATCAATGTCATCCATACTGAACAGCAGTTTGTATCAATTTGTCTTAACTAAATCATATTTTTCAGAACAATTGGGTCTAGATTAAAAAATTTTTCTTCATAAATGTATATAAAACTAGCTGGGCCTCCTTTCGATGAAAGGAATGATCGGTGCATTAACATCAACTGAAAGTAATTGGCATTGTTGAACTTGTGATCTTATGATCATTCATGTTATTGTTACGTTTCGGTAATTAGCTGTGGATTGTTTTGTAAATTCCAATAAAGCAGGGAAGATTACTCTCACTACTTCCTCTTCCCAACCGATCAGCTGTTTGGCCGTTGTCTGCTAAATTTTGTTCCCTCATCATGGCAAGTCAAATCAGATCTAGTACCCATTCAACAGGTTATGGGCCCAGTTCACGGTACAGTAGACTTTTATTCAATGGGGATGAGAATAAATATGAACAATTGGAGGTGAAGTTTCTAGGGTACATGAGACTATAGAAACTGAAAGACGTCGTACTGGCAGGGGATGATGAAGAAATTGACCTTGCTAAAAATGAAGAAGCATCTGAGCGTATCCAGTTTTTAGATGACAAGAGTTTATCTTTGGTTATGCGAGCTGGTGTAGATTTTACGTCAACACTATGCAGGCTCAAGCTCTCCAAGAATCATTTGTCTCTACACAGAACTGACTTCACTCGTGAAGAAACATGAAGAAAGTGTGACAGACAATATCATCAGAGCAGAAACAGCAGCAGCAGCGCTGAAAAACGCTGATGAGACTGTCTCAGACAGCCTTCTGATATCTATGATCTTAAAAGGTCTACCTGACACCTTTCAATCGTTTGTCGCTGTGATTACGCAGAGTGAAAATAAACAACAGATAACAGAATTCAAGATCGCCTCGAAGAGTTTCAAAGAGACTGAAAGATCAAGGGTCCAGTCTGGTGATTCTCTTCTGAAGAGTGCGCAACGAGCAGCCAGGCAAGGTATCGGCAGTGTTAGAGCTGCTACGGGTGACAACAAGAGTCCACCCACATGTTTCAGATGTGGACAACCCGGACACTTCTCAAAGAATTGCAGGCAAAAAAAACCTGTGGTGCAAACTATGCAGAAAGAATAATCCCCCTGATAACACGTGCAGATTTCAGAGGAAGAACACAACAGACACAGTTAATGAGGCTGCGGATGCACGACGCACAGATAACCAAGAACATACATTCGCATTCAAAGTGAAAACGAATATTGATGAGAAAATTAAATTCCAAGCGGACTTGTTGGTTGATTGTGGGGCTACTGCCCATATTTTGAATGATGTGTCAAAGTTTCGTTCATTTGATAAGACGTTCACATCTGAAAAACACTCCATAGAGCTAGCAAATGGAGAGAGAGTGAATGTTGCTGTGAAAAGAGGAAATGCGATTATGAAATTTAAAGATTCTTATGGTAACTCTGTAGATGTTACTCTGAAAAATGCTCTGTATGTAACAACTTTTCCTCAGAATATTTTTTAGGTTCAGGTCGCTACAGAGGAGGGGGCAAGTGTTTCATTCCACTCAGATACAGCAGAACGTCTAGTCAAAGGTGGTGTTGTAAGCTTTCAAAGTCGTAGGAGAACCTATGTTCGATGGTAGAAGAGATATTTGACAATAAGTTGCGCCACAAATTTTTGACCACACTATAGCAGTGTGGGTTGAAAGGCAAAGGTCCAAATTGACCATGCGGACCCCTGTAGTGCTGGACTTTGGTGTACCGACTTTTGTGGTGTAATGGCTTGGCGTTTTGTCGTTTCATGCTAAAGTCGTGAGTTCAGTTCCTGTTTGAAAAGGTCTATTCCTTCAAGTGTTCCTAGGCCTAGTCTTTCAGCTGCAATGTTGTGCCATTCTTCCCTTGTTGACCGTGATCGTCAAGGTCTAAAGATCCCCTCCAAC